ATACATTGAGCTGCAAAAGTTTCTTATCATCTACATCCGATTTCACCGAGTTGGGTCTATGAGCAACATCCACGAGCATACCCGGACACGGTGATACCGGAAGTCCACGAGCATACCTGTGAAAGTGAAAGTAGAAAATAACATATAAATAGATGTAACTGGCGTTGTGTAAGAGTCGTGTTTATTTTTATAGTATGGCCAGATTATAGAAATTCGTACTCTTTTAATAAGCAATGCAGTGTGTAAAATAATAAAAGTTATTTTTGGAATTAGAGAAAAATAAATATCTAAGTAGACGTAATTACTAAATTAGCGTTGTGTACGAGGCGTCATGGTAGTCATGGTATATTATTAATCAGCTTACATTAATTTAGCATGGCAAAACTGAGACTACTATGTTGATAAATTAACACAATCAGTGGCGGATCCAGAAATTTTCATAAAGGGGGGAGGGGGGCACTGACTGCCGCTTCAATCATGCTTCAGTGATTCCCTATATTACCAACATGAACCACATTTTAACCACAGTGTGGAACCTCTCACAGTTAACTCCCTGGATCCGCCTATGAAAATGTAACGTAAGAAATATTGAAAGTTATTCATTCATCATTACAGTTTATCTTAGATTATTAAAATTAGGATTGAATTTATAATAAAGAAATATTGATAATAATTATGCGAAAGTAATCTTATTTATTTTTATACGCCCGTTTACGGGATGTATTATGGTATACCATTGGCCGTCCGTCTGTCCGTCTGTCCGTCCGTCCGTCGACAAGAAACTTTGGTGAATTGTTTCAATCTATTGACGTAAGCTCCCTTTCGATTTTTATAAATTTCGGATTTTACGTTTACTAGTTATGGGGTTTAACTCATTAAAAAGGGGGATTTTCCAGTTTTCGGACAATAACTATATAATGCTTACAGGCAGTTTTCGTGAAACTTTGGTAAATTGTTTATATTTATTTTTGTAAACTCCCATTCGATTTTTATAAATTTCATATTCTACGTTTCCGAGTTACGGGATTTTATTCATAGAAAGGGGTGATTTTGACGACTGATTTATATCCATTAAGATAACCTCCCTTTAGTTCTTTTTTTTTTATATAAATTTTTGATATGACATTGACAAGTTATTTAAAAAAGCGACGGGCGTATATTGCGCTCCTGGCGTAGCTGTTAATTTATGTTATGCGATAATTATGTAATATTTTTATAAGTTAGATCAAGCGTTTTATGTTTTTGTAGTTGAATTTAATTGTTTTCATTAATAATCATTTAATATCATCAAAGATCTAATCAAAGATGAACATTAAAAAAAATATGTTTAAATTTCTTTGTTTAACTGAACCCTGATGATTTGCATATATATGGTGCCCTAGTAAATTGATATGTAAGGAACACGGAGTTATAGAAGCCCGGATTACCCACCCTCCCAATTTCCTGGAGCCCGGCTGCCATAGTGCCTATATAGTTGACCTAGTATTCCATATTTGTATCCAGTAGGAGTGATATAAAAGATAAAAAAAAAGAGCTTGAGATGGCGAGAGAGAGAGAGTTTAAAGTGAGGAGAGGACAATATACGTTAATAGTAATCGTGGAGAACCGTATTGTTGATCCTGAAGTTAGATGTTGTACATTTCTATACTTGTTACCTTGTTATGGACTTGGTCAAGTGTTTTTGAATAATACAGTATCGAACTTTTACTCAACTTTGATTCTATTTTTTACTGACAAGGATTTGTTCAGTCTACACTAGGTATTTATGTGACATCCGACTCCAATGCTCTCTCATGTACGATATAATTGCTTAGAAATCAATACTGTCAACGCAGTAGTAAGACCAAGAGTGGAATATAACGCAGCCATATAGGATCCCTATACACAAGACATGATAGATAACATAGAGCGTGTACAGAGAAGAGCAGCTTGATACATTTTCAATGAACGAATCAATTAAGTGTCACTAGTATGATCAGCAAGCTTAACTGGATACCTTTATACCAACGAAGAGTAATAGCCTGGAATAAATTGCCGGAATCGACAATGGAAGCTTTCAAGACACTGATTACGTAGATGATGGAATATTTTTATCCTGCTCCTACTGTACAGCATGCACAGTATTTTTTATTACTATTTTCCTCAGCAGATTATGGGTTAGGTAGTTCACCTGCCACTTGTATTCTTAATGATATTCGCACGGAGACTATGCATAATGTCCGGTATCGCCAGAGAATCGGGCACTGTTCCTAAAAAAAACAATCCTTATAGAGTTGTCAAGGAGACCAATAATAAGCAAAGTGGTAGAGGAAATGGTCGGAGAAGTTTTGGTTGATATGGATTAGCTTACCTCTCAGTAGTGGTCTCGTTGCAGTTGCACAGATCTTTTTTCCAAATAATAGGGTAGTATCATAAATATTTAATTATTGGATTATTAGCGATAATAAGCCTAAAAATTTCAACGATAGTCTTGAAATTTGTATGGAATTCCGTCATTTCTGATCATTAATCAGAAAACACCGTATATGCATGATCCAGGAAGAGACGAAGCCATAATCGTATGTATAATGGGCCAAGCTGTACTGCAGATAATATATTATAACTGAAACTGGTATGCCCTATGACTCAGATGAAATGCATGAGACGTAAGCCTAATAAACCGCCCTGTTATAAACGAGCAAACGCAAATGGAGCTTGAGTTAACAAGGCAAATATCGGAAAACATAGGCTTATAACCAGGACATGTTCAATACTGCAATCGATAAAAAACATAAAAAATAAAATAAAATGAAATACAGTAGTTCCGGTAAGTAGGCGTGGCTAATAGGTTAGTTGAGGTCATTGACGTATAAAGCTAACGTTTATACGTATAGCTTTATCTGTATAGTAAAATAGCTGATTGCAGTATAAAGGCTTATAACCAGGACATGTTCAATTGCCAGAGTCTGGAAAAATGAATGTTCTGATATATACTGAACAACGGAATTCTTACCGTTTAATATTACATCTACGAGGGTACCTGTGATATATATATATATATATATGGTGCATTTAACCATTAAACATTACATCCACAAGGATACCTGTGATATATATGGCGTATTTCACCATTATATATTACATCCACGGGGGTACCTGTGATATATATGGTATATTTAACCATTATATATTACATCCACGAGGATACCTGTGATATATATGGTGAATTTCACCATTATATATTACATCCACCAGGGTACCTGTGATATATATGGTGTATTTCACCATTATTTATTACATCCACGAGGGTACCTGTGATATATATGGTATATTTAAACTTTAAAGATTACATCCACGAGGGTACCTGTGAGATATATGTTGTATTTAACCATTATATATTACATCCACGAGGGTACCTGTGAGATATATGTTGTATTTAACCATTATATATTACATCCACGAGGGTACCTGTGATATATATGGTGTATTTAATCATTATATATTACACCCACGAGGGTACCTGTGATATATATGGTATATTTAACCATTATATATTACATCCACGAGGGTACCTGTGAGATATATAGTGTATTTCACCATTATATATTACATCCACGAGGGTTCCTGTGATATATATGGTATATTTCAACTTTAAAGATTACATCCACGAGGGAACTGTGATATATATGGTGTATTTCACCATTATATATTACATCCACGAGGGTACCTGTGATATATATGGTATATTTAACCATTATATATTACATCCACGAGGGTACCTGTGATATATATATTTGGTATGTTTGAACTTTAAAGATTACATCCACGAGGGTACCTGTGATATATATGATATATTTAAACTGTAAAGATTACATCCACGAGGGTACCTGTGATATATATGGCGTATTTCACCATTATATATTACATCCACGAGGGTACCTGTGATATATATGGTATATTTAAACTTTAAAGATTACATCCACGAGGGTACCTGTGAGATATATGGTGTATTTCACCATTATATATTACATCCACGAGGGTACCTGTGATATATATGGTATTTTTAAACTTTAAAGGTACATCCACGAGCGTACCTGTGATATATATGGTGTATTTCACCATTATATATTACATCCACGAGGGTACCTGTGATATATATGGTATATTTAAACTTTAAAGATTACATCCACGAGGGTACCTGTGATATATATGGTGTATTTAAACTTTAAAGATTAGATCCACGAGGGTACCTGTGATATATATGGTGTAATTCACCATTACATATTACATCCACGAGGGTACCTGTGATATATATGGTATATTTAAACTTTAAAGATTACATCCACGAGGGTACCTGTGATATATATGGTGTATTTAACCATTAAATATTACATCCACGAGGGTACCTGTGATATATATGGTGTATTTAAACTTTAAAGATTACATCCACGAGGGTACCTATGATATATATGGTATATCTAAACTTTAAAGATTACATCCACAAGGGTATCTGTGATATATATGGTATATTCCACCATTATATATTACATCCACGAGGGAACCTGTGGTATATATGGTATATTTAAACTTTAAATATTACATCCACGAGGGTACATGTGATATATATGGTATATTTAAACTTTAAAGATTACATCCACGAGGGTACCTGTGATATATATGGTGTTAACCATTATATATTACATCCACTAGGGTACCTGTGATATATATGGTATATTTAAACTTTAAAGATTACATCCACGAGGGTACCTGTGATATCATAGTATTAATTCTATTGCACCATATGAGCATTTCATCTGAGTGCAGATGTTTCAATCAATAAAGAATCTACAGCTATATAATTTGCACTTTGACCCCAGTTTTTTTAAGATTTTTTGAAGAGCATTTATAAATTATATTATTAAGTTGAGAACACCTTAACAATCCTGTCAGCCTAAGTTCAAACCAATTTCTATGCAAACTCGTTTTTCTTGAAATTGCAGGATTGATAATAAATTCTTGTCTGTGGTAGAAGAATATATTTTTAAAATTTGTAAAGTGTATAATCAAATGTAACATTTCAAATATATTGTAACAAAAATAAGTCAATTTCATCATCTTTTTTCTTTTTCTTCAAACTAGTTTCTTTCCAAGGCAGATTCTGGAATAAAGCAAGATGCAAAGTTTATTATAACAGCAACTAACTATCAATTTATCTTTATTTTAAAACAAGCAAAATAATTAAGTTAAAGTTAATATTATGTACAGTGATACATGAACATCTATGTCTATTAAAAACCATTAAAAACACATTATATCAGAATACATACCGGGTATTTAAACAGTTATCTTCTTCCTTCTCAAATGACTACGAAAGCCTATTAGGGTAACAAAAAAAATATTTTTATCTCGTAATTACGAGAAAACTATCGCGTAATTACGAGATAAGAAGTGTTTTATCTCGTAATTACGAGATAATTATTGCGTAATTACGAGAAAACTATCGCGTAATTACGAGAAAACTATCGCGTAATTACGAGATAAGAAGTGTTTTATCTCGTAATTACGAGATAATTATTGCGTAATTACGAGAAAACTATCGCGTAATTACGAGAAAACTATCGCGTAATTACGAGATAAGAAGTGTTTTATCTCGTAATTACGAGATAATTATTTCGTAATTACTAGATAACTATCGCGTAATTACGAGATAATTATCGCGTAATTACGAGATAACTATCGCGTAATTACGAGATAAATATAGCGTAATAACGAGAAAACTATCTCGTAATTACGCGATAAAAATTCATTTGGCCAAGTAGATTAAGAGGAGAAAGATTTTTGTAAAAGATTAAAAAAAATTACTTAATTGACGAAATGACTGTAAAGGGCAATAACTTCTTAAGGGGTCAATTGACAATTTTGGTCATTTGACTTATTTGTAGATCTTACTTGGCTAAACATTTTTGCTCCTACAGTTTATATCTTTCTATTATAATATTCCAGATGATAACCAAAAACTGAAAAATAATCATTAAAATTACCAATTCAGGGGCAGTATCCCAACAACGGGAAGTCTGCTTCGTCTGAAAATTTTTACCCTGTCATATTTGCTCTAAATGCTTTAGTTTCAGAGATATAAACCATAAACTACATTTTACCCCCCCCCCCCCCCCCCTTTTCGATTTGTAGCCATGGTGGCTATCTTGGTTGGTGGGCGGGGTCTTTGAATACATTTTTTTAAACTAGAAACCCTAAGGATGATTAAGGCCAAGTTTGGTTCAATTTGACCAAGTGGTTTCAGAAGAGAAGATTTTTGTAAAAGTTAACGGACGACGACGGACGACGGACGCCATGTGATGGGAAAAGATCACTTGACCCCTTTGTTCAGTTGAGCTAATAAAAACGGGCGTTTTATCAGGTGCCCCGGAAGGGTAATCATGATCTGTATATCTATATATATATATATATATATATATATAAGAAAATTAATATAAGATAATGACGGTTTCAATTCATCACTTTTACTAGCGCTTTCACTGCTTTCACAGATCTTCAGGTAATGTGACTTGTATACATAAATGTTATAAAACAATTGATTGACGTTAACAATAGTATGACGTTAACAAATACAAGGGAGACTACTAATGTCATTTCAAAATTGGAGTAAAGTCTTTAAAATGTTTCGTAAAAATTAAAATATTATTTATCATTTAATCCCGGGTTGAGAATGTTTATGAATAATTCTTCTTTCTTCTTCCGGAGAAAATCATTTTGACGATTGACCATATACAACGGAAATATTTTAAATCGTCCATTAGAACAACGATGGAAATGGTCGTTAGCCCTGATGATTGTTAAATCTTCATGGTTGGTTTGCTGTCTATGTACAGTCATTCTAGTCCGCAGTTCTGTTTTTGTCTCTCCAATATAAAATTCCTCACAATTTGAACATATGAGAGAATAAATGACGTTTGAACTTTTACAAGACATATTTTGTTTGACTGTGAAATGCTTTCCATTTTTGAAATACATTGAACTTTCTTCTATTAAATCTGGACATGTCATACATCGTTTATCGGTACATTTTCTAACAATAGGCAAAGTTTCATTAAAGTCGAATTTTGAAGATGTTAAATGTCGTTTTAGACTTTTTGACTGTCTTTTACTGTTGATAATCTTCTTTTTTTGTAATACTTTGTCCATTTTTTCACTTTTGTGTAAATTATTTTCAATTTGTCGCATGAAACTAAATATATCATAATCTCGTGGGTTATATGTTGTGACAAACGGGATAATTTTGTCTAAACTGTTTGATGATTCTTCGGTTGTTTCGGATCGCCGTGATTCTGTAATGATTGGTCCTTTTATCAGTGCCTTTTGAATTCCGTAATCTATCACTTGTTCCGGATATTGCTGCTTTTTTAAATACTCTTTTAATTCTTCCAATCTTTTATTGCGTAATAGTTCTGTACTTGTAATGGTAATTATTCTTGACGCTAGATTAAAAGGTATATTTAATTTTACATGTTTTGGATGATTTGAGTAAAAATTTAAATACATATGTGTATCGGTGTCTTTAGAAAAGATATCTGTGACAATTTCATTGTCTTCCGTCATAAGTACTAAAATATCCAAAAACGGCATTTTGTTGACATTTCTGTTAATTGTGAAACGAATATGTGGGTTTAAAGAATTTAAATCAGAATGAAAATCTGAGACAGATATATCCGAATTCCAAATTATAAAACAATCGTCAAGAAATCGTTTCCAGTTTTGACGTAGGTAAATGGCAAAGTCATTTCTATATTTATGGTCCATTTTTTCGTATAATAATTGTTCCAAATATCCAAGTACTAAAGTGGCGTATGATGATAGTATGTGCCGTCAAAGTAAAAAATATTCTTTCTAATATAAGTTTCAAAGATGCAAGGATAAATTCTTTTGTTAATCTGTAGATTACATATATATATGTGTAATTTTATCTCGTAATTACAAGATAGTTTTCTCGTAATTACGAGATAGTTTTCCAAGTAATTACGAGATAGTTTTCTCGTAATTACGAGATAATTTTCTCGTAATTACGAGATAGTTTTCTCGTAATTACGCGATAATGATCTCGTAATTACGCGATAGTTTTTTTTGTGACCCTAATAGGCTTTCGTAAATGACTCATTAATAAAGTAAACAATTTCTTGTTATATCCTCAACTGTCACCTTTCGAGTTTTTATTGTTTGATATACTATATATGTCATTTTTAAAGCATATAGGTACATGTTCATGTGTCTTGTCTAATTTAATATTAACTCCCTCATAATCGACTAGAAATTATAAAATAACTGTTTATGTTTTCAATTTTATTACTATTTTGTTGTTGAGAGTACAGAAATTCAAAAGTAATATCGTTATCCAACCTGTAGAACTCTGAACCGCGAATGTCATGCTGATGCGCAAAGGTTTAACGATTAAGTACATTTTTTATCAAGCCGAAGTGCGATGATGGCATTGTGACACTTTCTTATTGATAGCTTTGCAGAATTGCTATGGTGGTTATGTTGAAGTGCGATGGATTACATAAATCATATTTTTAATGTTTTTTTTTTACATGTTTACATGTCGATTTGATCAAGCTAAATTTTATATACCACCCACTTTATTAAGTGGTGATATAATTTGATTGGTTGAGGTCACAACTTAAACATTAATATATACATGTATATATAGACTTTATAACATAATACCTTGTCTTTTCTTGCTCATGCTGGTGTCCATGTACTGTAATATTTCCCCCTTTTCTGTATCATTAATATGTTCCACTTCTCCCAAATATCCAAGAAAAAACTCGATTTCATCAGGCCCATTGACATTTAGCTTGTTTTTGTGGAGAAATGACCTCTGAAATTAAAACATTGATTTTATTACAATTTACTGATTTTAATTTTAAGGATTATACACGTATGTACCCATCTTATGTCCCTATGTTTAGTTAAAAATCATCTGTCTTAATAAGTGATTATTTAATAGTCAACTTATAAAACTACACATATATTATAAAATTATAGCCTTTGTATAAGGTCGATATAGGGTTATATCAAGAGAAGCATATTGAATGTGGACAAGGCCAAGGTTGATGTGCTTCTCTTGGTCAATATAATCTCCATGGAAATGAGAAGTGCATATCTTACTTCAACTACATAACAGGTACTATTGACAAGTTTATCATAAGTTATTTCTTGGTTCCCTTTAAACTGACCAAATCATGAATTTTAACAAATCTTGAAGACTTCGCCTCTGTCAAAAACAATATACCTACGTCTCACCTTCATGACTTTGCTATCGCAAGACAAAACTAGAGGCTCTAAAGACCCAGTGTCGCTAACCTTGCCAGGTCTATAATGCATATTCAACAAAGGACACTCTCCCACATTGCAGACGAGAATGGAATGAATGACAAAAATCTTTTTTTTTTTTATATCTTGTAGATCATTTAGTCTGTTTAATTTCTTTCTATCTAATTAAATTTTTGCTCAAAACACAAAAGATGGTAAAAAATCCTCATTTAAGGGCAACCACTTCTATATATATATATATATATATATATATATATAAAGAGCGACAGTCTACAAGCTATAGACCATATTTTGACTTCAGTTGATCTTGCATTGCTGTTAATTTTGTGATTTACAGTGTCTACCCAGTATTTATCTATTATAATTATTATAGTATAAGGCAAATTAAAAAAAAATATATGGAAAAACAAAATGCATTAGAGGGCAATAATTCTCTTGGAGTTGTTGGATGATTTCCCCCATGTTGTCTTTAAATTGGAGATCTTGTCATGCTGATCAAATTTTTTTCTGTACTAAGTTTTCATTACCATGATTACAATTTTTAAGATGAGGCAAAAACGCTAAAAATTGGTAAAATTTTCATCAATGTTAGACTTGAAGTCAATTTTCCTGTCAGACTTAGTACACATTTTGTTTGGGGGCAAGTTGAAGCAAGCCTTCGGGAACTTTTATGACATGTACCTTTCATCACACAATGTTTCGTTGTCTGCTACTCCTTATTTGCACATGAATCAATACAGCAATTTTCAAATCCACTACTAGTCTATATAATCTAGAAAGCATTGCCTCTAATGACTTCTGTTCTGTTGATTATCTTCTCCTACTTCTCTAAGTACATGTACTTTTATTAAAAATGCTAAAAGAAAAATGTTTAATTGCATAAAAGGAAGTTATAACAAGAGTGCACACGCTGAAATGTCTCGCCTTCTTTACTAATCATTGATAATATGTTGATAGTCCTAAATATAAAGCTTTATTAAAACTGTCACATAAACTTAACATTAACCGAGTAAACTAAACATTGACCAATGAACCTTGAAAATGAGGACAAGGTCAGATGAACCATGTTAGGCAGGCATGTACAGTTAACAATTCTTCCATACAACAAATATAGTTGACCTATTGCTTATAGTTTAAGAAAAACAGACCGAAACACAAAAACTTAACACTGAGCAATGAACCTTGAAAATGAGGTCAAGGTCAAATAAAACCTGCGTGACTGACATATAAATCATAAAATATTTCCATACACCAAATATAGTTGAACTATTGCATATAGTATTAGAAAAAAAGATCAAAACTAAAAAACTTAACTTTGACCATGAAAATGAGGTCAAGGTGAGATGACACCTGCCAGCTAGACATGTACACCTTACAATCAATCCATACACCAAATATAGTAGACCTATTGCATACAGTATAAGAAAATCAGACCAAAACACAAAAACTTAACTATAACCACTGAACCATGAAAATGAGGTCAAGGTCAGATGACATCTGCCAGTTGGACATGTTCACCTTACAGTCCTTCCATACACCGAATATACTAGACCTATTGCTTATAGTATCTGAGATATGGACTTGACCACCAAAACTTAACCTTGTTCACTGATCCATGAAATGAGGTCGAGGTCAAGTGAAAACTGTCTGACGGGCATGAGGACCTTACAAGGTACCCACATACCAAATATAGTTATCCTATTACTTATAATAAGAGAGAATTTAACATTACAAAAAATTTTAACTTTTATTTCAAGTTGTCACTGAACCATGAAATGAGGTCAAGGACATTGGACATGAGCTTTTAAGAAGTTAGCTAACGCCGCTGCCACCGGATCACTATCCCTATGTCGAGCTTTCTGAGACAAAAGTTGCAGGCTCGACAAAAACTGTCTAATATGACTATACAAAAAGCATTTATTAATAATTATTTGAATGTTCTTATACACCATACATTGTTGTATCAAATCAATATAACATTTTTGTGAATGAAAGTGGTGATATTGCATGGTTTACAATGCCAATCTTTGGGCAATAAAGGAATTTGAAATTTGAAGTTACACAAGATGTTAAATTTGGCCAGTGTAAATGTTATCAAGGTAAAATGAACCCTGCTAGACAGACATGCATGCCTTATAATTTCATACACCAAAAGTTGACCTATTTTACAGTATCTAAGAAATTGATTAGTCTAAACAAGGAAAACTTAACAGTGACCAATGCAATGATCCATGAAAATGAGGTCAAGGTCAGATGTACCAGCAGATTTTTTTAGTTGAAAATATAGACGAACAAGAGGCTGTCAGAGTGACAGCAAACCGGATTTTCCTGCAGAGGTCAAACCCTGAACAGTTGAGCAAGTATGGACACTACATTTAAGCTTAAAACAGCTCTGAATTTGGATTGTGATTGAATATTTGACACAGCATAGGTTTGTGACACAAAATGAATGTGGTTTAAGAACTGAAATACTTGAAATTGGACATTTGAATACCTATTATGGTCCAATATAAAAAATCTAAGTACATATTAGAATCAGCATATCAAAGAACCCCAAGAATTCAATTTTTGATGAAATCAGACAAAAGTTTAATTTAAGACCCTTTGGACCTCAATGTGGACCAATTTGATAAAGGAGCCCACAATCCAAAATCTCTCAATACACGGTTAGATTCAGAATATCAAAGAACCCCATAAATTATTTTTTTGTTGAATCAAACAAAGTTTAATTTTGGACCCTGATTTGGACCAACTTGAAAACTGGGCCCAAAAATCTAATATTTAAATACAGGTATTAGATTCAGCATTTGAAAGAACCCTATATATATATATATATTTAATTTATGTTGAAATGAAACACAGGTTAATTTTATCCATAATATTTTCTGTGCAAAGGGAAATAACTCAAACTGGATAAATAGTTCTCTAAAATAAGAAATGATGCAATTTTTCAAATCATAATCAATAATATAATAACAACAACCAGTGATGACTAAGTTCTCTAAAATTAGATATGATTTAACACTCAAACATTGTTAGAATCAGCATACTAGTATCAAAGAATCAAAGAATTCAATTTTTGATGAAATTAATCAAAAGTGTAATTTAGGACCCTTTGGACCTCAATGTGGTATTATCTTATTAATAATGAAAAGAAATACAGGTTTAGTTTAAGCATTTCAAAGAACCCTCTATATATTCAATTTATGTTGAAATCAAACACAGTTTAATTTTGGACCCCAATTTGGACCAACTTAAAAACTGGGCCCAAAATCAGAAATCTAAATATATGTTTATTAATAGACAATATAAGCTTAGTTTTTAAAGGAGTTTACTACATCAAAAAAAAAAATATAGCATTCAGAAAATTAGTTTTTATCAGTAACAAGAAATAATTGTAACAGAATGCTGTTACGAAGTCTCCCAAACAAAGCTCCAATAATTGTCATTCCCATTGTCGCTTGACATTGGGCAATGTCCAGTACAAATTGGTTTATGATATGCATTAGTGACGCCTATGGATTGACCCTGTATGTCATTCAAATCTTCTTGAAATTACGAACAGGAATTTATATGGTTAAGGGGTGGAGATCTCGACCGTTTACAAGTTATCAAAAGGGGGGTGATCCCCAGGGGACTCTCCCTTTATTTCATATGATTTGTTTTTTTGTCCCGTACAAGAATATATATGGTTTAGGGATGGGAATCTCGACCGTTTACAAGTTCTTAAACAGGATGAGGTGGGGGTGACCCCAGGAGACTGGCCTTATACTTCATTTGATTTGTTTTATGGTCTATACAAGAATATATATGGTTTCAGCGTGGGGATCTTGACAGTTTACAAGTTTTCAAAAAGAAGGCGGGTGGGGGTGACCCCCATGGACTTCCCCTATATTTCATTTGATTTGTTTTATTGTCCCATTCAAGAATATATATAGTTTAGGGGTTAGGATCTCAACCGTTAACAAGTTCTTAAACAGGAGGGGGTGGGGGTGACCCCAGGGGACTCGCCTTTTATTTCATTTGATTTGTTTTGTTGTCCCATGCAAGAATATATATGGTTTCAGGGTGGGGATCTTAAATGATTACAAGTTTTCAAAAAGAAGGGGGGTGGGGGTGACACCCATGGACTTCCCCTATATTTCATTTTATTTGTGTTATTGTCCAATACAAGAATATATATGGTTTAGGGTCGGGGATCTCGACCGTTTACAAGTTCTTAAACAGGAGGGGGTGGGGGTGACCCCAGGGGACTCACCTTATATTTCATTTGATTTGTTTTATTGTCCCATACAAGAAGATATACGGTTTCGGGGTGGGGATCTTGACCGTTTATAAGTTTTCAAAAAGAAGGGGGGTGGGTTTAGGGACACTTAATTATCTACAAAATGTCTAATAATGAACAGTAAATTTCACAAATTTCATTTATACAGTCCTTCTAGTAAATTTCAAACTTTATATATACAGTTCTACAGATCTTATCAGGAAACAGAAAATTTTCAAATAAATCTGTCACTCCAATGATATTATATGCTAAGATATTACCCAGATCTAATTAATAATTAATAATGTAATTAACTTCAAAATGTCTAATAATATAGCTTATAATCATTACCACTTAGGAAATAGATAATTTTCAAATAAATCTGTCACTCCAATTTTTATTGTGAGATAAGACATTATGCTTAGTCATAAAAAAGATAACAAGAGTAAAATATTTTAAAATTCCACTTTTGGATATTAAAAATGGCGATAACTCACAAAGCAGATATACTAAAATCTTGAAAATTGAACTAGACTTTCATTAAGTCCCAGGAAACAACATATTTAAATTTGAAAAAAAATTGTTAAAGCGTTTTCATGTTATTGTGCTGACCCTGTTTGACGCTTCACTATTGCAAAAAAATAAAATAACCTTTCAAGACATCATTTGGACTAGATCTAGACAAAGTTGACAAACCCTAAAACAGTTTGGCACAGACTAATCAAATGTTCTGGACTTTTTACATTACATAATAAACTGTTATCACAGAGATTTGTCTCGCCTTTTTGTAATTTTGATAATGCAAATGCTGAAATTAAAATAGAATACTTTTAATAATAACATGCAAGTTATGCAAATATTCAAAGTCGATGAACCTGGTAATGACTCGAGGTATAAGGCTAAAACAATCAATATGGAAATGAGATGTGCCAATGCTAATACAACTGCAATCCAAATACCATTGACTTATCATAAGTAGTTCCCTTTCAACAAACCTTATGGCCACGCCAAATTAATACCTCGTTCGTCAGATTCCCCGCGTGTTGTGAAAGGTCGACGAGAAAAAAGTACTTTTTTTTAAAAACCTGCTTCCAGTACGGAGCCGCGCGCGTCCGTCTCTAAATTTGTATAACCAAAATTTTAATCAGTTGTGCCTTTTAAAGTAATGCCATACAAACACAAAAACTGATGTAAAAAACGATCGAGATCTAACATTCACAACGTTTTTACATGTATTTTTATGGACAAATATATGATAATTGATATGATATATTTTCTAAACGTAAGACATGAGGGGTATATTTGTAGTTACAGTAGTAACACAGGCAACAACCTTACTACCAAACACAGAGTGGAGTGTGATTTGGACAGTTCTTTTATCGATATGTTTGTCAAATTTGTTTTTCGTAAATTCTTTTGTTATGAATTAGGCTGTTAGTTTTCTCAAATGAATTCTTTCATATTTTTCATGTCAGGGCCTTTTATAGCCGACTATACGGTATGGGTTTTTTCATTGTTGAAGTCTATATAGTTGACTATGATTATATATATATCCATTTCATTTGAACTTTGGTGGATATTTGTTTCATTGG